TACATATTGCGGTGCTCCTATGTTGGGTGCATATATATTTATAATTGTTATATCTTCTTCTTGGATTGATCCTTTGATCATTATGTAGTGTCCTTCTTTGTCTCTTTTCACAGCCTTTATTTTAAAGTCTATAAACCTTCACAACCCTTCTGAAGCAGACACTCTCATTGTCCTCATTTTACAAGTGAGGAAGTTAAGGCTCAAGACATAAATAACACACCCAAGATCACAGAGCTAGTGGCAAAACTGGTCAAAGACCCATTGGAAAAGCCCCTGATGCTGGGAAAGATTGTAGGCAAAAGGAGAAGAGGGCAACAGAGGATGAGATGGTTGGATGGCATCACCGATTCAATGGACATGGACTTGAGTGAGCTCCAAAAGATGGTGAGGGGCAGGGAGGCCTGGCATGTGGCAATCTGTGGGGTCGCCAAGAGTCAGACATGACTCAGCAACTAAACAACAGCAGTGTTAAATATTTAATATTGAGAAATAAATACTTGCAGATTTTACAATGAATAGTTCTTGACTCCAAACATCAATGTAAAATCAAAAATTTTAACAGGGCAATGTATACGAACAGATAACTCACAGAAAAGAAGATACTAATCTTTCTTGGACATTGAAAAAGTTGCTCAGTCTGGTTTGTAGTAGAAAACTGCAAATAAAACTAAATTCTACTGTCCATTACTTATCACGGTTACAAGGTTTAATGACATTTCTTAGCATTTTGTTAGATAAGATTTACAGAAATAATCACTTTAGATTTGCTAGAAGTGATTTAAATGGACAGAACCTTGTTCTGAAGGACACTTGGGCAATATCTATCAACATTTATAGTGTTAATGGCCTTTGACTTGGAGGTTCTTCTCCTAAGTATCTGTCAATCCTAGAGATATATGTTCACACTTATGCACCCTAATATATGTATTGTATGTTTTTTAGGGAAGATTGGAAACCATCTAAATATCTACTAATAGGGAAGAGAGTTTCATTAAACATATTAAGCAAGCAATGCAACTGTTTCATGAAATACTATGCAACCAGGTAAGAGTGAGATTTCCCTTTCCATGTAGGTCACCCAGAAATATTATGTGAACTGCAGGCCACAGAAAAATGTGACTGATACACTGTCATTTGTATGGCTGAGGAATAAAGAATATAATATTGGTATGTTTGCAAATGCAATTCAAGGCTAAACTGGAAGAATACAGAAGTTGGGACAGTGATGTTCTCCCAGGAGGGAAACTAGAAAATGGGAATCAGGGATAGAGGGGAGTTGTGTCTTACTTTATGCACTTTGGTACTTCTGCATTTTAACCTTATGGATGGTTTCTTATATACCTCACTCCCCCCAAATAAAAAGGATAGCAAAGAGACAGGAAGGAGGAAGAGGGGAAGGAGGGAGGGAGAGAAAGGGGGAGGAAAGAGGAAAGAAAGAAAACAGGGAAGAAAGAAAAAACAGAGGGAGAAAGCAAGGGAGGGCAGGAAGGTAATTTGTTACTAATTGGGCAGCTCTTTCAGCAGTGAAACCAATAATTCCCTAAAGGCAGTAACACAAAATTACATTTTGTCCCCTCTGGAAATATGAACTTTTATTCAGCAGAGAATAACTAATGAATGTTGTTTTTCCCAGTTCTTCCACAGCCTCTGGAAGCTCAGGTTCTCGAGGGATCCAGTAGTGATCTCTCAAACCCCAGCTATAAACTCCTGGTCAGGAAGGAACCCCACAGAGAGCCTTGGCAGTCAGCCTCCACCAGTGGCAGAATGAGACTCTGAGAGCAGCACTGGTGTAAGTATAACAGTAAATTTCACCTTTCAACATCAGCCATGTCTCACTGAACTGCATGCAGGGAGTGGCAGGTGGAAGTCAGAGTCAAAGTTCATCATATTTTGCCCCAAGGGCAAAAGGAATCCCATCATCACTGGTGATGTAATGGAAATGAAGTGAAGGAAGTCAGTTGGGCAGAGCAAGTTGCCTGAGAAAGAACATAAATGAACAAATAATTGGATTAATTAATTCACTGATCAATCACTGCCTCAATACTCTATGCTCATAGTGTATTATTTGCATGTGTTATTATGGCCATTTGACATACACTAATTCAATACTTGTCCTCATGATGATAAATTTACTTAAGTTTGATCACTTGAAACACATCAGTGCAAAGAAGGTTTTACATTTTTTCTTCTTCATTTTTATATTGTCATTTTGAATAAAAATGCATTCACAGGAAGTTGCAAGGATAGTAGATGAAGCTGCCATATTTGATACCATCACATTCAGGGAAGATACACCATGATTTCAATTCTTAGGATTTCTTTATGACTTAAGATATGGTCTATCTTGACATATATTCTGCTGATGCTATAAAAAATTTATATTCTCTTTTAGATGGCATGTTTGGTAAATGTCTACTAAATCCAGTTGTTTGATGGTGCTGTTGAGTTTTTTCATATCCTTATTGTTTTCTGTCTAGTTGTCCTACCAAGTGTTGAGAAGAGTGTTAATGTATGTACTATAACTATGCTTGTCTATTTTTCCCTTCAGTTCTATCAGCTTTTGCATCACATATGTTGCAGCTCTCTTCTTTGGTACTCATACCCTTAGGATTTCTACTTCTTCTTGGTAGGTTAACCCTTATATCGTTACACACTATCCCACTATCTTTGCTAATTTGCTATGCTGTGAAGTCTACTTTATCTGCTATTAATATAGCCAGTCTTTCATTTTTTGACTGATGTTCAAACAAGTATATATTTTTTCTTTTCTTTGAAACATACATATATCATTCTATGTGAAGTAGGTTTCCGGCACACAGTATTTGTGTCATTCTTATCTATGCACCTAATCAAGTTCTTTCTTTTATTCGGTTTTAGATAGTATATCTTTTAACAATAAGAAAGAAGAAAGCCAAGGAAAGAGAAAAGTATGAATAAATAAAATTGATTTTTCTCTTGAGATTTCTAAACTATGTTTGACAGTAGAAGTAGAAAGCTTAATTCTGACTAATGTGATTCTCAATATATACAGCATTTCACTCAAGCTGGTAAAATGTAACACCAGCTATGCATACACACAATAGAATCTCTCAAGTAGCCACAAAAAAGTTATATAAATATCTGTGACTAAAAAAACACTATAAATAAATCAAAGTGACATTCTTAAAAAAATTCAAGTGACCCACAGAAATCCAAACGAATAAGCAAAACCAGAAATAATATACTTAAAATGGTAGACTTAAGCCTTAGCAAATCAGTTAGTCCATAAAATATAAATGGTCATCTTTGTTTTAAAACAAAAAATATTTTTTAAAAGCATTTTTTAATTAAAGAAAAAGTGCAGAGATTTATAAGTCTTTAAAGTGATGTTTTTGTCTCACTCAGTTTCACACCTGTTCATAAGTTAGTTTGCAACATTCCTAACACTAAAAGTATATTTTTACTAATCATCTCATGTATAGAGGTACATAGCTTGGCTTAGAGCTACTTATACAATGAGGGTACTTTCCCCTGATACATATATGAAATAAGAGGACCATCTGGCTTGTGAAGAATGCAGGTTCACGGTAAGGATAAGGGCTTCCCTGGTGGCTCAAAATGGAAAGAATCCATCTGCAATGCAGGAGACCTGGGTTCGATTCCTAGTTCAGGACGATCCCATGCAGAAGGGAATGGGCTTCCCACTCCAGTATTCTTGCCTGGAGAATTCCATGGACAGAGCAGTGTGGTGGGCTACAGTCCATGAGGTCACAAAGAGTCAGACACTTCTTAGCAGCTAACACACATACACACATGTATCCATAGTTTCATGTATCCAGTTTCATAAAGCAATATTCAAACACAATTTATGTACATTTTCAGCAACCTATAGTTTTTCTCAGCCATTTATCATTTTAATCCCAGTTCAATTTCCTGAAATTAGTATCTTTTTAATTAGAGGAAAAAATTTTTGTGACATTCATAACCATATATGTTTGGTCCATTATCTTTGTACCATGATCCTTACCACGCACTTCCCTTTAACTGATACTCTTCAAAAGCCAGATAGTCGTCTGATTTCAGAAACATGATGCTGTGAAAGTGCTGCACTCAATATGCCAGCAAATTTGGAAAACTCAGCAGTGGCCAAAGGACTGGGAAATGTCAGTTTTCATTCCAATCCCAAAGAAAGGCAACCCCAAAGAATGCTCAAACTACTGCACAATTGCACTCATCTCACACACTAGTAAAGTAATGCTTAAAATTCTCCAAGCCAGGCTTCAGCAATATGTGAACCGTGAACTTCCAAATGTTCAAGCTGGTTTTAGAAAAGGCAGAGGAACCAGAGATCAAATTGCCAACATCCGCTGGATCATCAAAAAAGCAAGAGAGTCCCAGAAAAACATCTATTTCTGCTTTATTGACTATGCCAAAGCCTTTGACTATGTGGATCACAATAAACTGTGGAAAGTTCTGAAAAAGATGAGCATACCAGACCACCTGACCTATGACTTGAGAAACCTGTATGCAGGTCAGGAAACAACAGTTAGAACTGGACATGGAACAACAGACTGGCTCCAAATAGGAAAAGGAGTACGTCAAGGCTGTATAGTGTCACCCTGCTTATTTAACTTATGTGCAGAGTACATCATGAGAAACACTGGGCTGGATGAAGCACNAGATCCAACCAGTCCATCCTAAAAGAGATCAGTCCTGGGTGTTCATTGGAAGGACTGATGTTGAAGCTGAAACTCCAATACTTTGGCCACCTGATGTGAAGAGCTGACTCATTGGAAAAGACCCTGATGCTGGGAAAGTTTGGGGGCAGGAGGAGAAGGGGACAACAGAGGATGACATGGTTGGATGGCATCACTGACTCAATGGACATGGGTTTGGGTGAACTCCAGGAGTTGGTGATGGATAGGGAGGCCTGGCATGCTGAGGTTCATGGGGTCACAAAGAGTCAGACACAACTGAGTGACTGAACTGAATTAGGCTAAAGTAACCTCATCATATAAATAACTGTAAGCCAAGCAACGCACCTCCATAATGAGACGGTTAGTAAGAAGGCACTTTTAGTGTCAAGAATGGTGCAGACTAAGCCTCCTGTTGACACAGGCTCCTCTGGTTCTCCAAAACCATCTGAGAAATAAGCACAGTTGGATAACTTCATTGTAAGGGTAAGAAGTCATTCTTTAATTCAGTGTTTAACGAGGGCCAAGAAGAAATAAATTAGTGCAAGTTCCTTCCTCGGGATAACCTGGTATAAAAGAATTGAAATGCAACACTTTTAAGGAAGCAGTCACTCATGTATACAAGTACTTATTAGAGGAAGCTGGAATAGATCAGGGGTCCACTTAATCAGAATCTTTTTTTTTTCATGGATAGAAAAATTTAATATCACAAAATATGAATTCTCAGAAATGAATCAGTAGATTAAATATAACACTAACAAGATCCTACTTGAGTTTTACATGATAGGATAATTATCATTACATTTACTATATCAACTTGACTTTCATCACTCTGAATTCTAGTGAAGTATAGATATGACATTATGAAGACTTTTCAAGAGCTAATGAAACCATGCAAGTCCTACCACCCACATCTGACACATAACGTGTATGTTTTAAGCTTGAGTTGTCTTGAAAGGTTGTTGCTGAATGATAAGACGTGGGATTCTTGACCTCCGGAGGAGACGAATTCAATCTGGGGCCAGAGACGAGGCTGGATCACTCAGAGGTTTTGTGTAATAAAGTTTTATTAAAGTATAAAGGAGATAGAGAAAGCTTCTGACATAGGCATCAGAAGGGGGCAAAAGAGTACCCCCTTTGCTAGTGTTAGCAATGGAGTTATATACTCTCCAATGAATCCAAAGAATGTCTGGAGGTTGTAAAGACCTCACCAGACCTTCTCCCATAATTTACATTTTAAGATAACAGAGTTGGCCAGAAGGTTTAATCCAAAGACTGTTCTCAGGCACGATACATACATCCTTGTAAAGACCAGACCTACTCCTTAATTTATGTTTTAAGATAACAGAATTAGCCAGAGGGTTTAATCCAAAGACTGTCCTCAGGCAGAATACATTATTGTTATATAATCCTAAGGAATGTAGAGGAAAAAAAGTAGAAAAGTTTGTCCTTTCTTCCTCCTTGACTATCCCAGACCTCTCTCTCCTTGGGGACCCCTAGACTTCTTATCACCCTGCCTAGGAAATGACTCTCTCAGCCTCAGTATGAAATTCTTTGTTTCATTTATGATGAAGGTCTTTGCTGATTAAATGATTACTATGAAGAAAGGCCAACTGCCTATGTAATTTGAATGTGCTTAACCTCTGCTGAGTCTCGGTGCTTCTGAGGCTTCATTTATGTTCAGCATTGGGCTATGGAAAGGAAACTGGCAGATTTGGTGAAATGTATGTCAATCTATGTTTCTTAGAATCCAAATATTAAAAGTGAATCTTCTTCTGTGAAAACTTCTTTGTTTTGAAAATGAATCTATGGTTAATATGTTGGTTTTATGTGGTGATTTCTTATTTTAAAAAAAATTGAAAGAAATTTTGGAAATAAATTTGAAAATATAATTTCATGAAAATATAATTTTTACAAAGTGACATAAAGTGTTAAGGGTGTCTTCTAGTCAACAAGTCATTTCTTTTCTTTTTCTGGTCTCCCTCTTGGTCCTTCTAGACTTTTTGTGCTCATGACACCGAGAAATAGCCCTGAAGTGACTGAACTCTTCCTTCTGGGATTTGTATATTCACTATGTTTCTGGTCATCTATGTGACCTCCATGGTGGGTAATATTG